CTTTATGACACTTATATTTTCTTTGAGCACATAAACAACAGAATATAAGATAGAACAATTGATAATAATACTAGCGAGAACAGCAATACAATAGCAATAAATATTTTATGCAATCTCTTCAGTTCATCACAAAGTCAGCAGAAATATCGATGATCAATCATTGTTACATTCTCCATTAGAACGAAACCAAACGCTATTGTGAATTCAACTAAGAATGTTTATTTTGTTGCAATTGATAAAATTAATTTCAAAACGAAAGGAAATTGTCGATGGTATACCGTCAATAACAGGAACAATATTTAGACGGTCGCCAATATCAACAACGACACCCGTTGAAACATCATAAGAGTACAGAATTAAACTCGGTTGTCTTGATATTGCAACACCCTTAAAAGAGTTCTTCAGCTGAATCACACTTTGCAAATAAACGTTCATCGTTTCTCATCCAAATACGATAAGATTCATCATTTTCGCTATTCAAATACGAATGAAATTAATTATCACAATATATTATAATAGTTGTGATTCTGGTATCTTTCAATGGAACCATCAAAACATTATCTATAAAACGAGCAGTTGAGAAATTATTGTGAATTCGAATTATTCGAATAACTAAACAAAAATAGTTGATTTTTTGCTTGGAATGAAGCAGAATTATTATCTCGTTTTGCTTTGTTTTATTTCGGAACAATCAATAAGGTTACCGAGAACTGAAGCTCTTCCAAAACGATTTTGAGGATGTCTGCAATAAGTACGGTTGGAATGCTTTGTGGAATTGCGAGCAGTACCTGAAATACAAAAGCAACGTCTCGGAACGGAATCAATATTCACTATTTGATTTAATTCTCATTTTTGATTACGTCTTGTTCCATTTACCATTACTGTTATTTTTATGATCATCATTATATCCTTATTTTATTACTGCTATCATTACATATGTCACAGATCAGCTTAGTAAACAAGTTACTTCCGTGAGGGTTGCATTCATATTTAAGAAGCTGTGCAATAGACATACCCGATATCTGCGAGGATCAATTCCAAGGTCGGCAACGCACTTCTCGAAGCACGCTTTCAACGCAGGTTTATCGACCGTATACCGTTCGAGGGTCGGATCTGGTGCTGTGATCGGTCGTATTAATTCACCACTTTGCCGATTCTAAAACAATCCAACTAATATGTCGGTCACTTTTCACGAAAGTATAACGCATCTGCTCTGTAATTTTTCATTTAATTGCCTCATTAAGGCAAATGAATGAGAGAACACCAATAAGCAGACAAGACGATACCTCGGGAATAAGAGCATCAGCGCCTACGATGATTCCAGAGTTATCTTCCTTCTTTAGAGCTATGTTCGGGAAGAAGGTTTGCGGTAAAGACGGTTCCATTGTGAGCACACCAGCACGAATTGAACACGAACCCAACTCAATTATCGCGATCTTCTGCAACGAATGAAATTTGAACTGTTCAATGAAAGCAGTGCAGATTGACACGCACAGCAGAACGAAAAGGCTACCTCAGTGATGTGAGGTAATGGTGGATATACGGGATGAACGAATGAGTCGAGATATGATGAGGCTGAATGACTCGTTATCGCCTTTCGCCATTTATCGAACAGATTCGATGTTGGTGGTACTCTGAAATGAAACTCATTGTGAACACTCTCAAGAGTGCAACGCATGATTCAAGCATTGTTTGTTGGAAGAATGATTCGAAACGCACCTAACAATCATTTTGACATGATCTCTTCCGCCATGAATCGACAGTGTCCCTTCGTCACGATTCGCATCCACTTCACATCCAGATAATAATACCTCACCCACTGGTGTATCATCAGCGAAATGGGACTGAAATCATTCTGAGTTAACAATTGAAAGCGCATTGATAAAATGACTCTCAATGACTTCAAAATCTAAAATCNCTCACCCACTGGTGTATCATCAGCGAAATGGGACTGAAATCATTCTGAGTTAACAATTGAAAGCGCATTGATAAAATGGCTCAGTGACTTCAAAATCCAAAATCCTTGTTTAATCAGCATTAACTGAAAATCCGGATCATTCAAAATTCAAGCGACAGAATATCGATCGAATCAAAAGCAAAGATGAATTATGGATGAATGAACGATGAAATTAGTTATGAAAGACAGTTAAACTGCAAGAACGTTGTTGTACCATAAAATGAATAAATGTGATCACGAACCACAAACCACTGCAAACGACCATCGCGTGTTCTGAAATATTTTTGTGTCCATGACTTTTGCAACTCAACAACCTGGTTCTGATCATCTACAGGCACATCCAAATGTCCTTCCATATTTGTGAAACGGTTCAGCTTTGATTCTTTCCGAGGATTATAGCTGACCTGCAATCAACATTTTACTTCTTTAGGAGTGTACAGATCTCTGATACATACTAATAACAGTGTATTATTAAGATTACTTGCAATAAGTAAATGTTATAACAATGGAAATAACGATGAGATATCGTAAGAAAAAGCAACGTCTCATGAGAGTAATACCTCGTAAAGTTTATTGATAAGAAGTTTCGGATTCCATTGGGCGCAACCAGCACCGTCTTCAGCAAAAAATTTTTGGTTGACGATTCCGAGCGTTGGTGAAGAATCGCCGTTAATTGAAGGCATATCGGTTGGTGATGAGGCGTTAGATAAAGATACTGCTAGAAATGAACGACGACGATCAGTTCGACGTGGTGATTGAACGGTATTACGAGAATCACTTTCACTTATTTTTCTCTCGAAGAAACGTGTCGCACTTTTAAAACGACTGCTGATGTCACTGTACGCATTCAGTGGCTTAGATAAATTTTCTTGACTGTTTTGTTCGTCGTTTTTGACTCGATTTTCATTCGATAGTTCCGACTGGTGTGATGCATTGAAATTTTTGCTATCACGTGAGGTCCTTATGGAATCAAAACTTTGTGATGGTTTAAAAAGGTGCTGGGTTGGTGGGACTGTGCTTTCAGAAGAGGAAGTGAAGCGAAATGATGATGGTTGCTGATAAGAGCTTTCACTAAATGACCTACTATATTTCAGTTGAGTAGGTTCAACAGATGGCGACAAAGGAATCGTCGCCGCTTCTGAATACAATTGTTCGTCTGCCGAATCGTCGTCAACAGAGACAAATGGTTCGGCTCGATACAATTTATAAGGTAGTTTTTTAACGGCGCTACTTCCTGACAATACTGGTAATGAATCACTTGGTGTGATAATGGTAAAAGTTTCGTCAGCACTTGTAGTAATTGGTTTAATCGCAGCAAATTCCTTGTAGATAAGTTTTTTGTTCGTTACACCTCCTGAAAGAACAACTGGAGGAGGTGATGAAGGCAGAGGTGGTGCAGACGGGGATGAAGACGGCTGAACTGTCACTTTATTTGGAGTAACGTCTCGGGCTTCTTCTTTGGAAGCAGTAGGCTGTTGTGGCTTATTGTCACTGTCGTGCGGAGTTGGTTCGGCAAAATTAACGTTTTCGGGTTGCTGAGTGAGATTTGGCTGGGAAGGATAGTAGCCGCCTAGCCGTATTGAATACTGCTCACTGTCAAAATCGTCGTCTTGTGTAAAAGTTGTAACAACAGCGATTTTGACAGGTCTGGATTCGTCAACAATTTTAGCGTTGAATTTGCCAGATGATGAACGAGGTTCGAACGATGACTGATTATTGAGTGGAATATGGCTCGAATTAGAAGCTTCTCCAATGAAAGGCGATGTGTTGTGAGGCACGGAATCAGGCGACGCGAGTGGCAGTGAGGGTTGAAGGGATAATTCAGAAGTGCATCGATAAAGATGATCACCTGATATGTAACGACGGACTGGATAGCGTGAATTGAAGGACTTTAAGGAGGTTAGTAACGGTTGAACACCCTTTGCAGTTATCGTGGGCAATTCAAGACCTGTATAGCTGTGAACTGGTACGAAATGCTTAGATTCTGATTGAGTTTGTTGATTATTGGGATATAATTGAGAGGATGAAACTGATAACGAACTGCTGAGATGTTGTGGTAATGATGATATTGAGCGAGTCAACGTTGCATCTTTTGCAGGTTGCTTATCTTGCAGATCAGTGAACGGTTCAAGATTTCCGGAAGGACTGGTTTGAGGCGGTTGTCTCCCAAGAACAAGCGATGGTCGGAATTTGGGTGAGGAGACCGTACTAGTGGCGGTGATCGATGGCCTGAAAATTAATGGTGAGATCGATGGCCTGAAAATTGATGATGGTGTTGAAGCGTTAATGTTTGAAATGGCTTGGAACGTCAAACTGCAAAATAGAGACCATTAAAAAGACATAATATGATGAGTTTCCAAATATAGAAGATGAAATGAAACTGCAAAATGACAAAAACAGAATGAATGAACAAAGTGCACAATAAAGATAACGATCAACAATTGATGTTGACGAACAAAACGATCACAGAAGAAATCACATGAAGTGATGAATCAGAATGTTCAAAAAATGTGATGAAAACTGCATTAAAAATAAATATGCATGAGCATTCGTTGAGATGAAAATTTTAGATGCAAATAATAAATGAAATGAATGATTCAATATGAAGAATAACAATACTCTAAAAATCCCAAAGTAGGCATTAGCAATCTCATTTAATCAACAAGAAATAATTTTTTGACACTATTTTAGTGATAGCTCTGTGGTGAACAATGAAAAACGAGAATGGAATGGAAGTAAGAGATTAGAAGATGTAATACTAATGAGTATGCAAACATTCTTTATTCCATCGAATGGGCTCACAATCAGAGGATTGGATATTAGAGGAAGAAGATGTACAATGTCGAGGATAATGCCAGTCAATTAGCTTAACTGAATGCGTTGTGCAACCACTTCCTTGGGACGCATTCTTCAACGTTCTACGATACGCACCCATAGAACGAAACAAAATGCGATCATATCAACCCTTGTAACGATCAAGCGATTCTTCCAGAAATAAAGAAACCTGTTTGATTCTCGAAACAAGTTTCTTGAATACAATGGAAAGTTTTGAAAGATGTGTTAATGCGCACGCTAGTTTCCGTTGCATTTTCAATGGAGGACCGACGACGTTACCTCGATCACATTATCATACACTCACCTATATAATCATTTGATTATATCAATTTTGAAATTAACTGAAAGTAATCAAATTTTTGGAGATGCACGTCAACAACCTCTTATGGTGATTGTGAACAAGTAAAAAACCTCACGAGGCACCTTCTAAGTAAAACTTTCCTATAGTAAACTTTACCAAAAACGATACATATGCAGAGAAGCACAACGAGATATTTTGTGATTTAACGATAGAACAATTCAACACTGAATCATTCTGTTCTGTAGAGAGTAAAGCAATAACAAGTTCAAAATTAATGCGTTTTTCTTGCTGAATGATGA